GCGGGTCAGAGAGAGAGGGGGCGCGGACAGAGAAGAGCAGGGCTGGCAGAGAGAGGAGAGACGAGAGAAGGCAGGGCGTAGAGAAGCTGAAGCAGGAGGGGGCGGGAGGAGCGTGCGAAGAATGAAGCGAGGCCGTCGGGGGGCGCCGGGCGGGGGAGGGGGAGGAGGAGCGGGGCGCGCGAGCTTCGCTGGGGCCCGTCGCACTTTGTCCGGCGCGGCGCCCGGCGTCCTGACGCCCCGGTCGCGCCGCGCATAAATCCTTGTCAAGCGCGAATGACGCGAGGCGGAGGGCACGGCCCGTCACCCGCTGCACGGGGCACTCGGGGTCACTGGATTCCGCACAGCGGTTGCAACAACACTACAAGAAACCCGCGATAGGCATTCGGCAGATGGCGTGGCCCACGACATCTCCAGTAGCTCTAGCATGCCCCTCATTAATAACGCGAATTAACAAGGGGTGACATTGATAGTTCCTTAAAGCCTTCTGCAGGTGTTTGTGCAATTCAAAGAAGGTGAAAAACCGTGACCAAAATGTGAAAATGTATTAGAATAAGCACAATGAGATAAGGAATCAATTATACAATGTAAAGGGTGTTGGAAGCAAAAGCTGAAAAAGGCGTAAGCTTAATGAAAAAACGTTCGGTTCTTTGAAAACCAACTTCATGACACGCATTCAGAAATACGATCATCTTAGATTAACTCGACGTTTCTTTCCTTGCGCTTTCTTTTAACTACCTATATTAATTTAACCTGCTGCAAAAAAACGAGGACATTAGTTTCCCAAATGTCTGCCGTTTTCTAGACACCGTACAATTGAATCGAGTAATTGCTCAATACTTGGAATTGCTGAGAAAGGGGAAAGAAGTGACGAAGGAGAAGAGGTGGACGCGGGGGAAAGATGGGGCGGATCAAGCGAGTTAGGGGAATCCACGGGGATGATGCAGGGAGAAAGTGTGTCGGGGTAGCTGGGGCGGCTGAGGCAGCAGATGCAGCAGATGGGGCGGCGGCGCGAGTAGAGGCAGCGGCAGCATCAGCATCCGGCAGTGGGGACGATGGGAGCTGTAGACGGTACGGGGACGGCGGCGGGGGTGACGGGTTCTAGTTATTACGTCATTGCCTCGGAACGAATCTATTCCCTACTTCCCTATCTATCTACCTTTCTGTGTAGGAAACATTTGCGCATCTTCATCTAATATTATAACATTACGTAACCATTACAAACTATACCAGAAAGTATATTACCACTAGTTTTAGCTTACAGAACCTCTCCCAATCACGACAGGACTCAAGTTCCTCTAACAATGAACTGCGCGAAGATCATGCAAAGTGTTGCTATGTTGTCGTTCCTCACAGAAAGAATTTACAGTGTCAAAATAGGTTATACCATGTAACCAGACAAAGTTATAAATAAAGACTAAGTTTATTACAGAATGTTGGTGTTTTCCATCAACTGTATCTCTGGATCTAATATTATTCTATGAATACCTTCTTGAATTTAAACTAACTAATATACTTTTAGCCAGGTTAAAGTATTTCAGTCTCATGATGTCATGGTACCTTATTATCAGAAATACAAATCTAATTTTCTCTAGGATTCTGGGGCACTATCCCTCATTTCTATATGGAACACGTCCACCATTTCAAATCCACGTTTTCTCAAATCTTAGCAAATGAACGTTTTTACATACTGTTTGCTATCAAAAATTATGGCAAAAAGGGGCAAAAATATGCTGTTCATGGTTTACAAATAACGCTAAACAATCACAAACTTTCAGTATCGTGACGTTCGAATTTGTTCGGGTTTGGACGGCGATAGCAGGGACTGTGGCAGCGAGGATGGAGATAGGGATTTTGATGGGGACAGCGACTGAGGGGACGGCGACAGCGAGGTCAGTGGCAAGTGGGGTGGAGACAGGGGTTTGGTCGGCGACAGAAGGGACGATGTCAGCGGGGAGGGACAGGGGTTTGGAAGGCGACAGAGACAGTGGGTACGGTATCAGCGGGGACTGCGATGGCGACAGCGTTGTCCGTGGCAGCGGGGATGGCGGCGGCGGAGGCGGGGCAGAGGCAGCGACCCGGAGCGCGCGTATCAGAGCGCCTGAAAGACGAGCCTGCTAATTAGGCGTCGCGGAGGCGGGCGGCTTCTGGGAAGCGTAAAATGATCGGCTGAGCCTCGATAGACCACAATCGGCAGTTGCGGCGCTACGGATCGCTCGCATCTGAATCCGCTTCATTATTTACGACTGGCAGTAACGAGCGGCCGTTTCGACAGTTGACTGGGCGGCCGCTATTCAAATGCAGCGCCTCAGCTCACTTCCGTGAGGCGCGAGCGCATACGCGATAAGCGCACCCCGATTAATTACGCGTTTCCACACTCGATTTAATATGACTGGAAGCGTCAACTGTCAAGATACCGTGGGACCAAATTTGTTTGAGAAATCGTATTGCTGCCCCAGAAAAACAAACTTTATGTTCTGAAGATACTCACATTTTATGAGTGACAGATTAATTTATTTAATTGCTACGTAATCTCAAATCAGAAAACGTCCGTTGTGTCGTTAAAATTTATTATCAATTGCACAAAACCATTCATTTAACAGCCATCTCTTCTTGGAGAGTGTAGAATGACGCTGCACAATCAAGAACAATCTAACCGAATCGCCAAAGGTAGCCACTTTCGCATAATAAAGGCTGCGGCCTCGAAATTAACGCACGGAACGTTAGTGACAAAACATCACGCACTCAATAATATCAACCAGACCATTAGTCTGGTTTTATTACTTCCAGGAAAACTCCTCTACGCCTCTATTCGGTTCTCATCGTCCTATCACGAAAGCCCTTTAAGCTCTTGGTCTATCATATCGTGAGGATCCAGCAGCATGCAAATTCGAATTCAGAGATAAGTGATGTTTTTTTTCTGCATCATCGGTTGTCTAGAGTCAAGAGCTTCTTGGCTTAAACAAAGAAAACACTAAATCTGACCGAAATGCATATTACCCTTTCTGTTTTCTTTCGTTACAACCAATTTCAAATGATAGTTTTGAATTTGTTATTACGTTTTATATTCATTAATAATATTTGAAGGTTTATTTATGAAGAATGATAATTTTATTAGTAGCGTATTTTTTGTGGTCTAGATATAGAGTTTTAGACCTATCTAAGAAATTGTTCTTGAGTTCTAGTCACCATTTCGATAGTAGCATTTGGTTCAGTTTCTTAATCATGCTCATGATAGCCGAAATAGTCCTTTGTATGCTTCTCGACAGTGGATGTTGGTTTACTTCCCCTGAAATATCGCAAGCAGTAAAAATTGCAAACTGATTTAATTAATCATAAGTTATAATTAAATAAAAATGTAATGAACCGGCATACGTTAATTAATAATATTATTAGTTATGTTCTGACGGAAAGAAACGAGAACGTGTACTTCGTTGTCGTACATGCGTACAGCCGCGAACTCGGACGTGGATGTGACTTATAAGTTAATAAGAACACTACGTTCTCTTGCTTTTGATTGTGGAGTGCTAGATGCCGCTCCCATCACAACTTCCCACTCTTTCAGATTTCTCCCAGTATTTTGAAAGACGTAGCGGATCAAGGACCTTTTTCGCCTTACGCCATCAAGAATGCGAAATTATATTCTTCATTTGAAAGTGTAAGTATGAATATATATGAATATATATATTGGACCAAAAAGGAACACGAAAATTCATTAGTACACAACACTGAATTTTCAAAAGAAAACAATGAATGCTTAAAAGAGTTCTGAAAAGGACAATAAAATTACAGCACATTTAGAGAATGAAACTCCGTAGCGAATTCATTTACATTTACGCATTTCTCAGTGAGTGTGTTCATTTGACAGTGAATGTGTGGAATGTTTGCTTAAAGTTTCATTAGAAGAAAACGCCAAGTACGCCAGCATTTTAACAGACGATAGATATAATTAAATGCCGAAGCAACGTCGGGTTTCTTCGTCTACTTTAAGAAATAATTAGAAAGAACCTGTGTGAAGGAAAAGATATTGCGCGACTGCCTATGGGAAACACAGCTGAGAGTTCCGATGTTTCACGATTAATTTATTGTGAAAAATGAACAATTTTAACAGCACGTAGGCGCCCTGTAATCCTGACGGCCCGTGAAAACACACTGGAATGTGAGTTCAAAACAAACGACGACAAGTCAGTAAAAATTTCGTCGTAGTAGTCTCCGTTTCCTGGAACGCATGGATGGAACTATATGGCAATAGACGTCGTCTCAATATGATTGCAAAGGGACAGTCGGAAGCTAAAATATTAGAAAATACATTTATGTGTCCTTATATTCCCATTTATTCGCAAACAATCTATTCATAAATAATAGATGGTACTAAAATCTTACGAAAACTGTCGACAAATTTAAAAAAATTACAAAACATAAAATAAAAAATGTCTTCATATTGTATAAAATAGGATATTAATTAAATGGTCGACTTTCGAATTTATGGTTAGAAACATCTCCATAGTGTGTCGACTATCATCTTCCCAACTGCAGCCGGCCATTAAATCAGTCACCATTTCACTTTCAACAGAGGAATACAGAGTCAGGGATAGGACTCAAAAACTCAGTAATTTTTCCCAGTAATAACAGATTTTTAAAAAATCATAAAAAATACCATTACCGAAATAACTATTACCGGTTTTATGGGTTTTAGAAACCTCTTAATTTTTATGTATCTCCTACAAAATAATTTCCTTTCCAGTATTTTTTCCAACAGGAGAAATAATTTTAGTTATTGTAAAGTATTCTTTGGAATAACCCTCTGGTATAAATATTGTGCAAATTAGGCGTTCTGAGTCTGTTTTGGAGCCAGCTCTTTCTTGAACGGGACGCGTGCAAGTGTGTACGGTGGTCAAGAGACGTTTTTTACTCCACAGGCTTCTCGAGGCCACGTCTGGAGGGAAAGGCGCAGTCGCTTCGCCCGCCCGATCTGCGTGGGTTCGAAGCGGGGGCGGACTCACCTGTAGGCGGCGGGGGCGGCGTGGCCGGGGCGGTGGTAGTGCGCGGGGGCGGGGCCCGCGGCGGCGGCGGCGGCGGCCGCTAGTCTTTGGTTGCCCGACGACGAGGAAGACGCCGCCGTGGCCTGCTGCTGCACCAGGCGCACCAGCAGCGGTTGGTACTGCAGCTCCTGCAGCGGGATGTCCCCGCCGTGCGCCAGGTGGACGGGGCCCTGCAACGCCACGATGCCATTCCATTCATTTCAACGATAACATTTCGCCTTCAAATACAATAAATTAGTTGGGAATCAAATTTGTGTGAGATATCCTCCCCAAGCAATTCTTATTTTGCCAAGTATTACATTAAGCATGTGGTAAACTTTAAATGTTTGTGTGACCATGTACGTTACTTTTCCTGCGCGATAGCCCGTTACAACTAAGGATTGCGAAGGTTACAGGACATATAATCTACACATCCATTGCTAAATGATACCTTTCATTTTACTGGTTGGAATACTCATTATTTTATTTACTAAATTCTTTGTAGTAAGTCTGTAATTTTCTACAATACAATTACTTGATATAATTAGCGATAAATTAAACGTAACATAATATTATTTTTTCTTTATAGCCTTAAAACGCCCTTCTGAAGCATGGTTGTTTTTTTACAATCAAATAGAAGTAATCAGATTCAAAAGATATACTTTCCAGCAATGATAAAGATAATGATTTTGATAAACTTTCCAAGAACGATAAAGTTTGATGTTTTTGAATTAGTTTCATTGTTTCTAAATTATAATAAATTCTTTCTGCTTGTGGAAGCATTTAGCTTTCTATGAGTGGTTTCGTGTAATATTATTAAAAGACGTTTACTAGGTTATGCGCCGATGGCTACTTTGGACGAAGTTAAATGCGAAAACCTCACAATAAGGCAGGATTCTGCACCCTGCAGGACAATCTCTACAGGAGTACAATATATTTTTTTTTCAAATTTAGAAGCCGTGTGTTTACTTATCCTTGGAGTGTAAATGTATAAGAGACAAGTCTCTAATGCATTTGTGAGCGCTTTAAGAACTCTCACTTTTCGAACGCTGCATCTCCAAAGCAACGCATGCCCCTTCACGGACTGCCGTAGCAGTGGTGGGAAGAAAAAATAATTTCGTTAAAAAAAGAAAATAGCTTCCGCGAAATTAATTTTTGCTTACGTGAGTGCTTGCTTTCTGTCGAAGTCACGTAGAAGAATTGTAGCTGCAAAGGTTAGAGAAGCTATTAAAATGAAATTTTGACAATTTTCTCAAAATTTTTTTTGTCATTTGCGCGAGAAGTAGTACGTCGGGTACTCCCCCAAAGAAGACAATTGTATGTGCCATCTAAAGTATGTTTCCAATGTTTCATTAATACAACAGGTAAAAAGTGTCATAATTGTATCGAAATATGCCGATAATCATAGGATATAACGCAAAACCCCACATGATTACGTATCGCCGACTACAAAGTTTCGTAGTCTTACTCACGAAAGTACAAATGTGATATTGCATGACTTGGCATGTTTTCTAAATAAAAATCGTCTGGCAATCTGAGTTGACTCAATACAAGAAGTTCTGAGGCTCTTCAATGAACCACTCGAAAGCAACCCGCAACACAACACGTCGCTCCAGGGGGCTGCGATAGCAATGCGGGGAGTTCAACAACCGTGAAATCGGAAGGCCTTCTGTAGACTTCACGGATGGTCATTTGAGATTCGTACAATGACCTTGAACGTGTGCAGATGCAGAATGGCCTTCTCCAAACTGCTCTTTCGGCATAAGGAGTCTCCTACACATGCGTGAAATTAAAGTCTCATTTAACTTAAACATACGGGCATTTGAGATTTGTAAAAGGGGCTTTAACCACACGCAGATGAAGAATGGCCTTTTGTGAAAAGTCATAGCAGCTATAGGGTCCCACAGTCGTGAATTTAAATTTTTTTCTTAACGGATGGCGATTTGAGATTCGGAAATCAACCATGATGGTGTGTCACGAGGATTATATGGCCTGTGTCACAGCAGCAAAAGCAGTCCCACAAGCGTGAAAACAAAGGTCTTGTGTTGCCATAAGCATTTGATACGTGTAAAAAGGACCTTTCACAGATGCAAAAAGTTCTTTCGGGAACCGTGAACTGAATGCCCCGAGTATTTAAAAACCTTCCTTTGCCTCAACCTCTTGAGATTCTCGAAAGGACCGGGAGCGTGATAAAGCATGGTCATCTGATAGATCGATTATTTCGTGTTTCCGGAAACGTCAACCGCTACATCAACCGTCAGCATTAGTCCTGTAAGTGTAGAGCATGTTTAATCGCGGGAGGTGGAAGTGATTCCCCCCGCTGGATGGCGAGATCCGGCGCCAACCTACACTCCGGCTAGCGGAGTGTTTTCCATCCTGGTATCTCCCACCAGCGGGACACCGCTCCACTCGGGATAAGCTCTAAGCTCCCGACTCGTCTGCCGACATGTGTGGTAGAGTAGTGCATGTAAGAGTGTGTGGAAGCGAGAGGAGAGATTAAGGGCAGGAAATGGAACAAAAGATTGTTCACAGTCCATGGCCCATTTGATAGGGTACTGCAATGGAATTCCCCTGGAGAAACCTCGAAAAACTACCGATCAGAGCGGCCAGCCGCTATAATTTTCCTCAGCGGATGACTTCGACCTAACTAAGCAGCAGCTGTGGCGAAATACTGCTACCGTGGGGCCTCAAACCCTAGGGACCTCCCTGTCGGAGGCACGGTAGTCTTATCAATTGATGCCCTCATCTGGTACGACCCCCATCAAACTGTCGCACAAGCGTTAACCTGGGAAGACCCTGAAGAGTCTTACGCCCGCTCACCTGCTGCGCGCCGGGCGGGGGCGCGTGGGCGTGCGGGTGGGCGTGCGCGTGGGCGTGCGGGTGCGGGAGCGTGCCGGCCGACGCGTGCGCGTGGGCGTGCGCGTGAGCGTGCGCCAGCCCTCGCCGCCCGGCCGCCGCCGCCGCCATCGACATGCGCAGCGCCCGCTTGCGCCGCTTCACGTTGCGTCGCACGCAGCACTGCACGGCCAGCAGCAGCGCGCACACCAGCCCCACCAGGCAGCCGATGTACACCAGCACCGCCTTGTCCCGGCCGCCGCCGCCGCCGCCCTCCGCGCCGCCGCTAGACGACGACGGCGACGGAGAGAGCGTGCGCGACGGCGCGTGCCGCAGCACACTGCCCGCGATCGTCAGCGAGATGCCCGTCAGGATGCCTGCGATGAAGATCACCTGCGCACACACACACAACTTACCACCACCACCACGCCACAACAACAACAACAACAACAACAACAACAACAATAATAATAATAATAATAATAATAATAATAATAATAATAATAATTTATTTGGAATTATAGGGTCGGATTCACCCGACACTTGCCAGCTAACTGTGTTCTCAGATCTGGGCCCAGATTTTATTTATCATTTACACCACGAGGTAAGGAAGCAATGTGGTGAGCCTGACGTATCCCCTTCACCGTACCGAGTCTACTTGACATGAATGAGATTTTCTTTTATCACCCAGCTATAGAAACATTAGCTACGATTTGTATTTCAAAGCTACAGCTTCATTTTTGCCCGGGTCGGAGATCGGGCAACTCCGCACAGCCTCTAAGAAACTAAAACTGTCCACGACTCGCCCGGGACCGTAATAATATGAATATTATTAATAATTACCCTTTTGGTCTCTATGTGTTGAAAACATCTGATTGGAAGTTGTTTATTTCTACAAGAAAATTGTGGCACAGTTTCCGTGAATGGATCGTGGTTCTGGCCAGGTGTCGTACGTACCTGCAGGAGGCGGTAGCAGAAGTTCTCGAAGGCGACGCAGTGGCCGCCGCAGCCGTCCACCGCCGCCGCGCCGCCGCCCGCGCCGCCGCCCGGCGCCGTGCCCGGAGGCGCCGCGGCGAGGGCGGGCTGACGGGCCGTCGCGCTCCGAAGGCGGGCGCGCGAGCGAACGCGGCGTAGCGGCTGCGGCTGCCGGAGCGGTTGCGGAGGCGGCGGCCGGACCCCGGCCCCGGCGGCGCCGAGCATGTCGTGCCAGCCGTGCGCCGCTGCCCGCCCGCCCAGCACTGAGCCAGCACCAAAGCGCACGCCTCGACAACTTGGCACCCACCCTGCACTCAGCACACCCGTAAGCGCCTGACTCACGCCTTACTCAGCACGCCTCGAACGCACTCACGGTAAGCGCGCTACACTCAGCACCGCCGCAACGCACCACTCAGCAAACCCAGTCAACGCTCTAGCACCGGTCAACCTACACCTCAGACCACCACCCCGTCACATCACTGGACCGTCACCCTACACTGCAGCACCACCCGACTCAACGCCCGACTTCACCAGCCTACTAGCACTCAGCACCCCTGTACAACGCCCTTACAGCTCACCACACCCTCGAACGCCTACACTACAGGCACACCGCGTCAACGCTACACCTCAGCACACCCCGTCAACGCCTACACTCAGCACACCCGTCAACGCCTACAGCTCAGCACACCCGTCAACGCTACACTCAGCACACCGGTCAAAGCGCCGTACACTCAGCACGACCCGTCAAACGCCTTACACTCAGCCACACCCAAGCGTCAACGCCTAGCACTCAGCACAGCCCGTCAGACGGCCTACAGCTTCGCACACCGTCAGACGCCTACACTCAGCAGCACCGCGTCAAGCCGCTACACTCAGCACACCGTCAACGCCTACACTTCAGCACACGCGCGTCAACGCCCTACACTCAGGCCACACCCGCAAGCGCCTACGACTCAGCACACCCGTCAACGGCCTACAGCTCGAGCACACGCGTATCAGACGCCTACACTCAGCACACCCGTCAACGCCTACACTCAGCACACCCGTCAACGCCTACACTCAGCACACTACTAGCATCCAGTACACCCGTCAACGCCTGCACGCAGCACACACGTCAACGCCTGCACGCAGCACACACATAACTACAAACATTAAGCACCTATGTCCCTAACTACGCCAAGGAACACCAAGCGGGTAGATGAAGTTTACATATCGTTGGAAAATTATGTTAGTTGAAGAGGCAACTATATTAAATAAAATTATTATGGCAACACATACAGGCACTTGAATATATTTCGCTACCAATATAATTAATAAGCAAAGGTGAAAGTAAAGGAGAAAAGGAAAAGATAACACTCTAATTAAGATAGAAATAAATACAAGACATGCTGAAATAAATGCTAAAATGTGAAGTAAAAGAGGCAACGCACTACATTAAATTATTTATACCGAGTCACAACTACAAAAATCTATTTCAAGCAAGAAGCTAGTCAGACCTGGCGAGGGGCAAAAATTGATCTTTGCAGAATTAATGAACGAATAGAAATGTCTTACTTAATGCCAGACCTATCAGCTCACCACATGAGTCGACAGCCAGATCTCCGTGACTCACCATCACACAATTGTGTATGAAATTTTGAAATTTTAACATTTCACACAAAATTTGGCGAATTGCGATCATTTTAGTATGCACGACGTGACTAGCTGCTGCACTTCCTTTTTGCAGCTTTATTCTCTTTTGTTTCAGAATGGATACGTACATCGCGGGATGCGTTTTTAAAGGTTTTTCTAACACGACCTTAAACAGTCATTTACTTTTTCTAGACCTTTTGCTTATTCAAAATTCCTCAACCGATTATTAGTTTTTAATGTGACACTCTGTTCTACACTTATTCATTTTTCGAAACTACTGTTCTCTCACATGTAATTCCATTTCTTTTTCCAAAAACAACTACAAAACGTTAGTAACAAATTGTTACAGAAGTAAGGTTTGGAGAGATAAGTAGGAAGTGAGAGACGAAAAAATGTAAAAAAAAAAAATTCCCGAAAAGAAAAGAAGTAGAAAATTTATGACGCCCAATAAAAACGTATTACGAGCACAAACCGACCCAAATGACATTTATAATCTGTGAGTAAAGAGAAAGTATAAGCATTGCAAACATACATACATACATACACACATACAAACATATAATCAGCGATCGCCCCATTGTTGACTAACACAATATGATATTTATTTTATTATTAATACCCAGTTTCAGCAATGTTTGACCGCCAAATACTTTGCATTTTCGAATAACACATTTTTTAAAGTGCTTTAACAACCTCAACAAGTGACTACGAGTATTCATATACATTATGAATTAATTCCTAAATGTGAATTTATAACATACGCGTAGTAAGTGAAAACAATAAAAAATGAAGCAAGAGTGGGAAAATGTAAACACGAAAGTCGAGTCGTTGGGGGAACAGAATCAATATTCACGGTGACGCAGGAGACGTGCATTTTACAAGTCAATTAAATTCCGCGTTCTAAGGAACAAGTATTCTGCAATTACGTGTTGACAGTAGAAACAGGATAAAAAGGATGAGGCAAGCCTCTTGGAGGCAAGCTGAAGGAGGCAGTTGTTGCGACAGACTAAGCTATGACAATTGCCGGGCAATTACCCACTGGAACCATGACTTCGTCTTTTCGATTCGCCAACAGGCAGAGGACTCTACCGTGTTTGCAATTATCATTTGTTTCGCGGGTCATTATGTTATTTTCGTCTGGTTAGTGCTTTTGTTAAAAAGGACATGCCTCTTGCAAAGCACATAAAATGCCACTAATAGCAATTTAGAGTTACGGGACTTGTTTGCTGCCAGTCGCACATGCTTGAAAGCCGACAATTCAAACAAACAGGAAAGCAGTAAATACAAAATAAATAAAAATGTATTTGTAAATAATTATTAATAAAAAACTGAGCTTAAGAAAAATTTAAAGCGCAAAGTTGTAATTCACATTTTCCTTTGATTGTATCAGTTTCCTGAAAAGAAAATCCCTAATATCTTGCCGCAGTTGCCCTGCATATGTAAAGAAGAAAATACTTAGGTAAAAACTAAAAAGCGCAATGGAGTTCATAATAAATGTAGAGAATAACATAATAATCATATACAGTACATATTAAAAAACACACAATTAATAAATTGAAATAAATTACAACGTAAGACTCATTTTTTAAAGTACTTTAGAACGTACAGAGTGCTGAGAATCTTAGGTTTCGATACTTTAACATGTCGATGAATGTGTGCCTTTACGCTTGCATCGCAACCCAAAACAACGCAATGAATGTATAATTGAAATAAAAGATGTAATAAAAAATGCTTCATATATATGTTTCAATGACTTGTAACAAGGTGATAATTTTGGCATCTGCATTTAAACTTCCCGCTAATATTATGACGCAAACTGTGGCCTGACGCTCAAGTCTCATATGATGCGGAATGGCTCACCTACCTCTTTCCATCGTGCCTGCATACACGGTCATTGCGAAATGTATTTACAGATGAATTACTCTAAGAAGTGACTACTTTCATAGATCCTGAAAAAGTGAACGTCGAGCAGGCTGATGGCATTGCAAGAGAAGAGATGAAATCATTCACAAATGAGCTAACTGTAAACGAACGGACTGACAAAATGATGGAAAAACGCATGGGCGTAACTTGCAGTTACATTGCCAGCAATAGCCAAGCGGTCCCTTCTTATAGCAATCGCTCTATAGTACGTAGCAGGCGGTGGTCGCGGGCGCGAGCGCTTACCTTCCAGCTGGTGGTCCACGAGGTAGTGCGCGGCGCGCGGGTGCGTGGCGATGGGGTGGTGGTTGAAGTGGTCGGCGGGCAACGGCGGCGGCGGCGCGTGCCACAGGGG